ATATTATGCGTAGATGTAAACCTTTCATAAAATAAATTGATAAATATATTATGTTTCGATGTAAAATTGACGGCTGTGCAAATTACCATATTGCTAGGCTTGGAAATGTCCAGGCCTTGAGCTTCAAAATTTTATATCTTGGGAAGAAAATTAGCTACGGCGTTCGCATTTGGCTGAATGCCCCTCCCGGCAACATTACTTTCACATGCTTTTTTTTTTACACAAATATATAAAAAAAGTGACCTGAACCATCATTGCACAGTCTGACGTGTTAATTGCCGTTTCTACATCTTCCTGGCAATGTCTGACTACTTTAGTGATTTTAGTGAAATGAACAAATCTCCTGACAACGCTACCTTTGTGTGACGGATGTGACGCAAACGTCACTCCATGCAGCGTAGACGCCGCAGAATGAACTCTAAAACCCCGTTTACATGAGGGGCTTATGCTTGCGATCTTCAGCATCGTTCGATCGTTCTGCAAAAGAAAGAGTAGAGGAAAACTGTGGTGCATAACGTCGCAACTGAACATTTCAAGCAGAATCGCACAACGGGAATCAGGCACAGCATGTGGGCGATGGTCGCCGACTGCAGGGACCAACATCTCGAAATTATTGTTTACACCGAGTATAGAATTTATCCCGCCAAACCCTTCAAATATACCTCTTAGGAAGCCTACAATTTGTAAAAATGAGTATGTCGGCCGTGCGTAGACTGTCGACATGATCTTACACAGGTCGTTTTCGCGTGAACGCGAAGACGCTCCGAACGTAGTGCTGGTTCCGAAACACTTCAAGGTGCTCCAGCGTCCAGGTTGGAACAACACAAATACATCCTACAACAACGAGTCTCCGGGAATTCACCCGTAGTAAAGTGATTATGCACGGGATATAGTAGCTTGACGGCGCCTAGTTTTTCACGGCGCCTATTCGCGTTCTCGGACTGAACAGACAGGCAGGAAAAACTTGAAAGCTGATCGAGACACCTTTGCCACATTCTTTTGTGCATTCCAGGTCTACTCTCTGTGACTTTTTGATGAGAAGGCATGTTTCTGCTGCTTTCTACCCAAATAACATAGCGGTGGTCGCTCTGTGTGACAGTTTTTGCTTATTCCCCAGGCCAGAAGTGCACCCGAAGAACCACCGCTGCGGCGTGATGCTATAGACATGACTTCGTCTATTGAGCGGCACACGTTTGATGTTAACATCCTGATCAAATCACAGCTAGAAATTTGATCTCATGAGCTATCTTAAGACACTTTGTGAGAGTGGAGTGAGCGGTTAGGAATTATTAAACAATCTGCCTTTGAGTCAACTGGCGAAATTATTGGAGGTCCTTTCATACCTTTACTCGAAAAAAACCGTCAATGTTTTACATAAAACAGTTAATTTATATCTTATCATATGAATGCATGAACATCACTTAAACGTTACATAACGCATTAATAATGGAACAGCGCGAATTTTACAGAGGAAGGAACTGAACAGGACGAGCGCTGGCTAACAACTGAAAGGTTTATTATCAGAAAACCACGAAGAAAACATACAACACGACTCTTCAATCACGATGAAAATGCGCATGCACCTCACAAAATTGGGTGCTATCCGTTCCTGTTCCATTATGAATACATACCAACTCGCCCAGCTATTCTGTTTGCTAACACATTAAGGCACAAAAGGCTCGACAACGATTGAGCGGAACAAAAAGAGCAGAGCCAAGTTCCTCCAATACGATCAAGCAGACAACCCGTCCTCCAAGTTCTAAGTCATAATCTTCTCGACAGTTGTAATGGAGGGGCGCGGAATACGTCAGCTCAACCCAACACTTTTGGGGTGCAACGTGAAGCAGTGTCGTCGTAGCAACGAATGCGCTTTGTGAGGGTTTCGACGCACTGTTTGAGTGTGGTCTAGATATGATGCAAACAGGTAAATGCAACTGATAGACTTACGTCATCAACCTGCGTTGTCAAAGATCAAATGTTTACAGTACTGTCGTCACAAATCTAGCGTAGTTCGAGTTTGATCGGATTCGACTTTTTTAAACTTTGAACTCGGAGAGTTCTTCAAAAGTTTGACAGAAGTTCGTCTGTTGTGTGCATGTGATTTTTCTTTTGGATATGGCAAAAGTGCTCCTATTGGGCCGAATTAAGTCGATATCTATTCATTTTTAACTTTTCTGATCATAGCACTTTCTTGACCTTATTCAGAAGGACCTTCACGAAGGGTACGAAAGGGTTCTTTCCGCTAAAAAGATATGCGGGTTGATGTGAAGCAACGGTCTTTTCGAAGAACGCACTATAAGCACTAAATGGCTTGCATTTACGCGCGTTTTCTTTTTTTCTCTCAATAGTAACAGCACCCACAATACTAAATAGATATCGGACAAAATGATGAGAAAAGTCGGCAGAAACTTTTATCGTGGAATATGATCAATGTGCATTTCACCATGCCGCAAAGGCCGCTTCGACAACAGTAGATGAGAACCGCTAAGATCCAACATTGAGTTGTCACCAGTTCAGTCCACACGTCACACGAGGTGCAGAAAGGGGAAGCCACCCGCACTCAAGGTGTCTTCCTTCTGGGCAAAACGAAATAAAAATGCGCCTCGAAGAAAGGCCTGAGAGGCGCTTTTTTAGCTGTTTCACTCGCCATCGTTTGTTTGTATTCTGTCGCGGCTGCTTGTTGTATCCACCGCCGCCGCCGCCGCCGTTGCTGCCACTGCGCACGCGCGCCGCCGCGTTAACGTTTTATTCCGCTCCAGAAAACCTGTTTCACCGAGGAACCCAGCCCCGCTGGCTTCCTCCTGCTCTAGACGCGCGCGCGGGCGCGCGCGCGTGCACTTTTTATGTGTACTTTTAACTTTTGCTTCCTGCTTTTCTTAGTTTTGAATCGCTTTGCTTCTGTTAACTTTTTTGTTCGTGTATATCTTCTCAAGTTTGTTTCGTAGTTGCTTGCCGCTTTCATTAGCGGACGCGTTGTGTAGTAAGTACAGACACGCTCCGAAAAGTAAAGATAGAAAAGATGCGAAGAGGGAGAAGGGGACCCCCTTTTTAGATTAATGTGTTGGCGCGGTAATTTATGATAATTGTCATCGGTCTCCCTGGCCGATGATTTTTGGTCCTGGCTGCGCGGCGGCGCACTGGTCATTGGCACGACCTATTCCGGAATGTGTTCCCGGCGCAGCCTTCCACAGCTAAGGATGGCTGCTGGATGGACCGAGTGAGTGGCCTCCAAAATTCAAAATGGCGGCGACCGAAGGTGCCTCACTTTTCAGCGTTAGGCTTAGCTGCCTTCGGCGTCGTCGTCATTTTCTTTTTTTTATTGTTATTCTTTTGGGCGTTTGCTTGCGGTGCTGTTTTGTATCTTCCGAGTATATCGAAGGGGTCGCGGTGGTTTAATTGAGCTTACGATCGAGCTTCTACGACGTGATTCGTTTTGTTATGTCCAGCTTTTATGTTCCCTCCCTCTCCGGGTTTATTTATCGTTATCTTTTTCTTTGTTTCTATACGTTTGCGTATAGAGAAAGGGGGAGGGGGGGGTTGTCTCGCTCCCTTGTGTGGATGCATTCTGGAGGCTGCCATTGAAGGGTGGCCCTGTTGCAACAGCAGCAGCGCCACCATTTGGGATCTAGTGCTGCCGTTCATTTGGTTAATTATGGGGCGAGTGGCGGTTGAATTTCCGAGGCTTCTTGCCTCGTAATGGCGGTATAGGGTTAATAAAAGTGTCGATGATGATGACTGCGACGATCGCGTTAATGACGAGATGCCGCGAGAGGTCGTCCGGCCCGCCGGGACCACACCCTAACGCTATGCAGCTTCTGTTAAAGGTTCAAAGCCAAGCGAGTGCCGGGGTATCGCTGTGTAATTGCTGCATTTTTTTTTTCGGAGGATTCGGGAAGCATTAAGTAGAGCAGATGATCCGCTTCTTCCAGAGGTCACGGGTACTATTCTTGTCTGCTCCGGTTATCGACCGCAACCGAGAAGTTTTTTTTGTAAGGTTAACTTTTTTTTAAATTTTATGTACGTAGGATTTTTGCAACACTTGTAACAACCTTCGGATAAACGTAGTAAGTTTAGACAAGCAAAACTATTGCTTTTAGCATTTGCTTTCTCATTTAATGATGTGATTATACTGGAATGCATGGGTCGAACATTCCACCTATATTTCACGAACATCTTTATTGAGTGCTTTAAAATCAACTACACCTAGAAAAATGAAAGAGCACTTGTCATTAATGTAATCAAACAATACTACCATTTAAGCATCGAGAGATCCTCTGTGGAGATGGGAGCGCAAGGAAAAGTTTCAGACCTTGACGACTAGTCTTCAAATCAGTAGATAACTAACGAACAATATAAAACCGTTATCTAGTTATTTAACAAACTAAAGAAAGGTCTACCGAGCCCAAACCGTATAATTAGTTTTCCAAAGAGCCGTCATTACGGTCAAATTGACTGATTGATAACGCATTTATTGAAAAGCCAACAAGGGGGAGAGCAGTAGCGAGGCTTCGCTGTCGAGGAGCACTGGAAGACGTCCTGAAAGGGTTAGCTGTTGGCCCCTGCACCGGAGCCGTGGAAACAGTGCAAGAGGGTGCGGAGGATTGTTTTCTGATTTAGTAGGAGTCCTTTGGGAAGGCGTTATGCTTCGATGCCATCGACTTGGTAATCTAGGGTCTGAAGATGTTGGAGGTTCTCGTTGAAAGGCTGGGTCAGTGCCTTCTGCACTCCCTCCCTCTGACCATACATCGGATATATATTAGAGTAAGATAACCGGAAAAGCTCAGGCAGAGAACTAGAAACGACATATATATTGGGGACAAGTTAAGAATGCAGTAGATGATCCGACGCAAACGCAACCAAAGCCTGACGGAAGGCAACTTCTGCTTGCTCGAGGCAGAGCTTCCGTGGCATTCTTGGCCTTTTTCCGAGTATAGTAAACAATGGCGTTTAAGACCTTTTACCTAATCATTCACACCTCTTCGCTCTTTTTGTACCCGCAGGGATGAAACCTCGCAACTCATCGGAGAACCACAAGGAGATGGTGATCAGCGCGGTGACGTCACCGACGGACGTGTTCTGCTCGGTGCCCGGCCGTCTGTCGTTGCTCAGTTCCACGTCCAAGTACAAGGTCACCGTAGGCGAGGTCCAGAGGCGACTCTCACCCCCGGAGTGCCTCAACGCCTCGCTCCTAGGGGGCGTCCTCAGGAGGTGCGTAACGAGCCGTGACGTGGCTAATTAGCCGTGAAAGGTTTCAACTCAGCTTAGGTGGCGCAAGCCGCTGCCCAATTCAAAGGATTCAGCTGTATCCGTCCGTCCATCCATCCATCAAGTCGACCATGATTGAGTAACTGCAATAACATATTCGATCTAGGCTTGTCGTTCCCTGACAGCTTAAAGCTAATATCCGTCAGGCGTCTTTTGAGTGACACACCGCGCCGCCACGGTAGGATGCTGTGTGTGTGTATCATCTGAATAAGCTAAGCCTATAAACAATGTTTACATAGCGGTAGTCTCACCAACGCCATAATGCTGCATAGCATCAGTGTTGCTAGCTGTCAACGATGCTCTACTCCATGTTCGACGTGCAGCTGGAGGTTACATGTTCCCCATTGATTATTTTCCCAGCATTCGATGTGATATGTGAATTAGTGCTTAACTACTAGGATGTATTGGCATATAAACTTGGGAAAATATACAAATGGGGTAAAAAGGAACATTAACATTGGTGCATGAAAGCGGATGGACATGCTGCCGTACTCTGCCGCATGAAGGTACCATCGTTTAATGGCCAGTTATCCTTTGTACGATTCGGTAGACAGACGGCGTCGAGCATCAGAAGAAATGAGGGACTTCGTAATTTTTTGCAATAACTTCTAAATATCAATAGCGTCGGAAATAGTATTTGTCCAAATGCACGAGCAGGACGAGCTTCAATCGTTTTAGAAGAATCTTGAAAGCTCACCGATTAGTTCAGTTTTGAAAACTATTTGGTTTCTCTTAATTTTATTTCAGTCTCAATTATGCGGCCCTTCAAAACAGCTGAAACAGCAAAAAAAAAAAAAAAGAGTAGTTCTTTTGAAAATAACAGGCAATGTGCAGAGATGACCGACAATAAGGAAATGGGGGGCAGCCATGTGCCAGCAATAAAGTCAAAAACAAATTCCGAAGTATAAATTAACTTTTGCTTCCAGTTTATTTTTTAACATCATGCTGACACCGCCGTGGAAGCTACGTGCTCGTTGCACGAGCCAATCGTCATCACGCCATCACGCTTTCTGCACATCTTAACCTGCAGGGTGCGTAGCGTTAGGTCAGGTAACGGAAGCCAGGCGATTGATTGGTCCGGTTTGCATGTAGCTTCAACCACTCTGTCAGCTTAGCTGAGTAGGCGGCATAAATGTTCGGGGCTATTTTTGTTACAAACACCGAAAACCTCATGCTTTAGAAACAGTGGACCATTGACAAACGCCGATTTTTAGTGAACGCACACTGCACATCCTTATTTAGGCAGTCGCGTGATTACTAATATGTGTGAAGAAGGGCTTGGAAAGAACGATATCCCGTCATCTAGTTAAGCTACACCTTTATGTTAGTTTCAAGGTCTGCACTGTGACGACAGTCGGCGCCGCAAGTTTGATTGCAACCTGTCATAATGGCAGAGTGGTCCCTTTTCATATTCTTGGATATGTGTTTCATCCATGTTCTATTCTATTCATTCCGCGTCTAATCCTCTTGCCATCTCTCTTTGAGTTCCCATAGATACGCTCAGTGTTGACACGCTTTTTCACTGTCGTTTAATACCGCCATTACGGCCGTTGTTCTGTTCGCTTCACGTGAACATTATTTCCGAGCTAGCACCCTGTGAACGCCACCATTTTTTTATGCTTACATTTGAACGGTTATTATATTCAATAATAGGGTTTCAAACTTAAAATTTCTGAGTTTTAGTTACAACGTGAGGATGCTCTGCCGATGTTGATTGGATCGGTCGCGAACTGTTTAACAAGCAGAACGACGGTAAACGCTCCTTGTGTTTTTTTTTGTCAGATTACAAAAGTTGATTACCGTGGCTCTTCTGCTTGCCACTAGAAAAGCCTGACGTAGAGGTAAAAGTACTCCGAAGCGTGGCTTATTTATGCTTAGTGTCAACTATTCTGTGTATACGCTGTCAATTGGCAACCATTGCTTCGAAAGCGCGTGGCTTCGTCTTGCGTCTAATTCGCAGACTCTCTTGTGTACGAGCTTTAACTGTCTTGGAGTTCTTGTGAAGCTACGCTATAGCCTCGACAACGTAGCAAGCAAAAGTCCATGTCGAGTTCAGTAACTCCTACCTGGGTTGGCTTTTTGTATGTTGTTCCGCGTGACGTCTCTCTCGCTGTTTCTTTCTCTTGTCAGTACGGTCTTGTCGATTCACTGCACCCTTTCACCCTCCCAGGGCCAAGTCCAAGAATGGTGGTCGCTCCCTGCGGGAGAAGTTGGAGAAAATCGGTCTTAACCTACCGGCGGGAAGGCGCAAGGCGGCCAATGTTACTCTCCTCACGTCTCTGGTCGAAGGTAAGCGCCCGCCGTTCCCTCTCCGGGGTGCCACACTGTCCCTTGACAGGGGGCGCCACCACCAAACAAACATGGCGGCTGGGTCCAGGTCGCGGCGGCTCGGCCGGGCCGCCTGAACGGGTGGCGCATTCAATTTAACAGATTTTCTTTTGTTTAATGCCCAATTTTATAGGTATTTGAAGTTTGAACTGCGACGGTTAAGTGTGGCACTTCTAAAAAAATCCCCCCTAGCAACAACGATGGTCGCCACTTCTTGGGCATGAAGTCTGTGGTTGGACCCGAGTCCTCTCCGCATGCTAACGCAGTACTTACTTATTCTTGCTACGAGCTGAGCCGATTTCACGATGAGCGGTTATATTGCTCTGGTGCTCAGTACCTTCTCCGAATATGTGATCGAAAAAGCTAAACTCGTGTTATTGGAGCAACTGCTATGGAATATCGCGCACGATTGAAGGTATGTTGGAGCAACTGACTGGCAAAACAAGCCGGACCGATCGCGACTTGCACGTAGATAGTTTAATTAAGTAAGGCGAATTTTGATGGCGGGGTATATACCTTGTGAACTTTTATGTAATAGCTCCGTCCCCGTGAAAGATAGGGAGCAACATTGAGTTTAATTAAAGGGATACTTCAACGAATTTTGAAATATACCCGTCATGTTCAAAAATAGGTTGAATATGATCCACAATATTCGGAAATGACAATTGCACGTTTGTATTTTGAGCCTGGTGGCTGTATTTTTTTGTTATAAACGGCCCACTCTAGCAAGCGCTCGGAGAAGACCCAGCTTAGAGCACGTGACATCCGACACAATCGTGACGTAGGTCGTCTCAGGGCGAGCAAAGCTACGGCGAGGCTGACGTCGAGGGGATGTCCAAGTCTTTCCAGCCACCAAAGTGGCTGCTTTTGTACGAATTTTGAGTGACGGGTTAATCTTTTATAATCTTGTAGGGGGACAATAGCTACTTCTGGATCACACAAAAGGCATTCTCGAGAAGACGGGAGTTCCTCCTTCCCCTCTTCTCTCGTCGTGGCCGGAGGCGAGACACTCACCGTCACTAGCTGTCAAGGTTCCTAGACGGGCATTAGAAACAGGCGTTAGCGACATCTACCAGGCGCTCTATTCTAATCGTTTAATTTGTTTTAAAATTTCTTTTCGTGACTTTTCTGATAAGATATTGGTGTGTTTCATGTGATACTGCTCCTTTGAACACATATAGACCATAAAATAAGCGCCGAAATTTCGTTGTAGTATCCCTTTAAAAAAGTGTTTTGGGGTTCAAGCTAAAAAAAAAAAAAAAAGAAACACGGACAATAATCAAATGCAATTTTTCGGTTAAGCGGTTAAACATCATTTTACCCATCAAGCTCAAGTGACCCAACAAACAATTTGAACGATGAGAGGGTGAGAACTCAGAACATCTTTCACATGACACGCATAATTAACTCGGGACTGGGTAAAAATGAAGTTGATCAAGCATACACAGCTTCTCAATTCGGAAAAAAAAGTGGAAGTTGTAAGCAAACGACCGCCCTTTCAGTATCTGATGCGACTCTAACTACGGTCGACCACCCGTGGTGAAAATAAAATATTGCGAATTGTGTACTTTTGCACTGAAGGAAGTCTTCGTGGCAGTCAACAGACACCGAAGTCTTCATACCAAAAACCACACATCAGCCACAAAGCTTTTAGAGCATCCAGAGGAAGTCGCGGCGGCGCCGCTTGTGTCAAAAGCATTTCGCTACAATCTGGTTCAGTCCGTCCCACAGTCCGTGCGGAACATACGGCACGGAATTGCTGCCTCCTCTCTACCCCGTTTCAACCTTTCGACGGACCGCAGAAGATGCCATGAGCCGTCAGAGCCATTCCAGTGACCTGTTAGTGTCAAGTTACCTTCGAGAAGGGCGCTCAGGACACGTTGTCACGTAATGCCTTCACAACACTGGATTGGCCGGGACGGCCCGTAGTGTCCGTTGCGGTCCATCGTGTAAGATAAAGCAGATTCTTCTCTCCTGGTCAAAGAGCCGCGCAACCATCGTGTGCCGCAATCCGACTGAGCGCTGATTTCCGTTTCGACATCGAGGATACTTCGTTCGGCGATCGGTTTACGAGCGGAGAGAAGTCAAAGAAACACACAAAAAGATCGGGTCAGCTCAAACTTGCCGATCTACGTCGTCCTCGTGATCCCTCTCCTCTCCGCCGAAGTCGTAAAAACAAAGAGCACCCCCCCCCCCCCCCATCTTTTTTCTTTATATCTATCGTTACATCTATTAGATTGCTTTGGGTTTGCTGCTTTATCGCTTTCTCGCTCGTTTCTGGGGTATTTCCAAGAGATCCGCGGCTGCTGACGACGGTGGATGGTCGAAGGTCCGCCAGAGACGGCAATTGCTTATATAAAGCGATGCACTTCCGTCAGGGCAGGCTGCCAACTTACGCCATCTAGGGAGGGAAGCTGGAGAGAAGCCTTCCTTGACACACACGAGTCCGATTCTGTCTTCTTTGTGTACGCCGCCATCTTACATTCCACGTTATTCGCGTGACCGGGATGGCGATGCGCGGCATATGGACAAGAATCACTTCTTGGGGTTGGAAGGGAATTAAAGCTAGAGCCCCAGGTCATTGAACAGGAGGCGGCTCGGTCGACCGCCAGTCAGCGCGACTGGTGGTCAAAATGGACAACTTAGGGAAGGCCTCACCCCCGACCGATTGGACACGAGCGCTCCGTCAGAGTTCGGCAGGGCACTCGTAGATTCGAGCTCGAAATTGCATTCAATGATGGCGGCCGTGGGACAATCTCAGAGTTGCAAAACTTCCGCAAAAGGTGGCGGCACTTGTCAAACCACACCTAGAATGACCAAAGCCTGTGAACAGCCTCCATGACCTCCGCGTAACGTCCTCACTCTCGGGTGGCGCCCTCTACTCAGCCATTGGGCCCTAGCCCTACGCCGAACGTCCTTCGACGCATTGATTGGACACGAGACCCAGCCGATCTCTGAGGCAGCAGTCGGGTCCAATCTGCGTCGGCGGTCGATCGAACGGTGATGACGTCGAAATGCTAGTGAATGGGCTTTGATTATCATAGGCGGCGCTGCTATGCTGCAGGGTATTCATTGACGGACATACCCCAGTCCGTGGCAGCTGAGCGCGAGCTAATGGAGAACTTCGAGAGTACCGCTTAGCAACGCGCATTCCAGATCAACGAGACTGCCTGTGTTTGAGTCTATAAGTGTGAGCTCCTTCTGATCATGCGCCTTGGGCATTGCACTCAAATATGGCATCCAAGAAAAGTCTCTAGCCGATGTCATTTTCAGCGTGGGGAGGAGTGATTCTCTACAAGGAGGGGAGCAGTGATTTTCCCACACACACCCTTGGGGGGGAAAGGGGGGGGGGAGGTGTAGGGAAATTACTGCCCCCCCTTGCTTTTGAGAACACCCGCTTAATTCACAACGACTCCTCTGTTCTAAATGACCCCCCCCCTCCCCCCCCCCCTCCATAATTACAATTCCTAAGGAAACCCCTGGTGTGCAGGGTGCTTTGCCCGTTTTCCGCAGCGACGGACACGCGCACACTTGGCTGTGAACTTGTAAATAGTGTACTGGCGTATATGACCTAACCTTTGACGTCAGGTTGTGGCGATAACGCTTCTAACGGCACTGCGCAGATGCGTAGACATCACCCCTTGATAAGCTCGTTTCTGTGCATGCCGTGTTTATAAACTTGCTCAGGACAAAGGTACGCGCGTTGATATATTGATGGAGAGTCTATTCGAACTCATCAGGTTTCTGTAGTGAATCATGCGTCATGACTAAGAATAAAAATGGTAGAGTGGTCCCAAAGCGTGATGCGATATCAAGTATATTTCAAAATCAGTTTCAGTGCAACCGAAAGTGCTCCCTCACTGTCCTTCCTTCTGTTCCTCTTAGCACCCTGCCAACATTATCTATCTAGGTAATGTTGGCAAGATGCCGTTACCGTATCGTGTCAACTTCAATTTGCGAGGGTTTCTTAACTTAATTTTTAAGCTTGTGACTGTAACAAGGCGGCGGTCTTAAAAAACCGTTTCTTTCAAGTCTTCGGTCAGGGAATTTTCAACTTATGAGTTGAAGGGGATACGTCACTTCGGGGTTTTCTGCATTTAGTTCACCGATAAAAGTTACCGGTGGTAATTAGAGTGCCTTACGATATACGTATAGTACAATAAACGCATCGATTTTATTTTACGACAAACGCAACAACCAGCGGGGGTGTGCGTAGAGACCGGATTCACGTGAAGCGAACCGTCTGCGCATGCGCAGTGCCGACAGAAGCGCCACCGCAGTGGAATGGCGTCCGTAAACGCAATTGGCTATTTGCTATAGCTATTTGGAATACGAAAGGCTGAAAATCAAATCCACAAATATGAATTCCAATGTTTCATTAAATGGAATTGCGGCGAAACAGGGTAAGAGATATCAAGCAACACACCCTTCGCTGCTCGCATTCTGGAACCGAGGCAAAGTCCCGGAGTATAGAACAATGAAATAAGGGAGCGGGAAACATTCGAAATTGATTACTTTCCTTCATTTATTTTAACAGCTGATTCTCTGGACCTACTCTATTTCTCCCCCCCCCCCCCCCCCCCTAATCGTATTGCTAGTGCAGGTTTGAAAAATATGGAGTGAGGCGTACAAAAGCGATAGAAGGAAGAAATAACCGCTGTTCGATCACCGGGGACTGAGACAGAAAACGAAATTGCTATTTTATTCTATGTTGCCTGTTTTGTTTGGGACTTTGCTGTAGTCGCTTTCACGCGTCACGTTGATTATGCTGCAGTTCGTCTAAGATTTCTCCGCAGTTAATTAGAAACTCGTTGGTTCAAAGGACAAGCAGCAATCGTCGTTAAAAACCACTTCAGAAATTTTTTGCTTGGTGTTAGCCCAAATGCGAGCTCAAGGACATCGCGCCAAGCGGCTCTCTCTTATTTCACTTCATAAAAAAGCGTGGATACTAGGCCATGATT